TGTTCAATGGACCAAAGCAGGGAGGGGAGGGAGAAAGAGGCTTGCTCCTGAATCCATTCACACTATTCTTGGCAAGGGAAGTTGGACAGAGATCCAGGAGCCTGCTCCATGCTTTACCACGGCTGGCCACCAGAGGGGGATGCTGTCCCATTCAGTGGTAATGCCACCTTGTCTGCCATGAGGAGACCCTGGTTCCATTCCCCGAGGCGCATATAAACTACAGCCATTGAGGCACCAAATATCCAGACTTGGTCTGATCTTTGGATACTGTCTTAGTGGCCTAAAGGGGGAATAGAAGGTCTGAGCAGCCTCCACTCCTCCATACTCCTGCCTAAGCGTATACGCCGAAGGCTCTTATAACCTCTTATGCACACACCATGATCCAGGAAGATCAGCGGTTGCCTACTACTTCAGCAGGCAGTGCTTTTGAGGTGGTAGCAGGAATTCAAGCCAAGGGCAGGTGTTTTCAGATCAAACAGATCCTGTCCAAAGCCCGGCATGAAAACCTGGTTTCCAGGCCAAGCCTTCCTTGGAACAAGCTGCTGAATGCAAACTACATGCCAGGACTCTGAATCCAGGGTGGGATTCCAAGATCCTGTAGGGTCAGATTTGGGCGGTTGGGTTTGACCCCAAGAGATGCAAGGAGAGTTCAAATCCAGGCTTTGGGTGCAGCCAACTCTTGATTTGGATGCCCCAAGTGTTTTAACACCTCTTGCAGTGCCGGGACATTGACAGCCCTTGTCCTCCAGCTTTGCCTATGGTAGGTTTCCATGCTCTTGGTATATGGCCAAAACATGCCTTGTCATTGTGTAACACAGTTACTTGTGTAGTTTTCGGAATAGGTTAGACAAGCACTTTTGTGAGGTGGTTTGGATAGGGATGATCATGCCTTAACCCAGGGGCTGAACTAGATGACCTCCAGAAGCCCCTGCCAGCCCTACTTCTCTATGACTTTACTATGATCCTGTCCCCTTCATTTTGGCTTTCACCATCTACGCTATTCCTCATGCCCTTGGCCAGATTCTCAGCCATTGCACTGTAAGGTGAGCTGTCATGGGTCATTAACCCACCTGCTGGAGTGCTGCTTTGCACTCCTTAGTCACCTGCATGTATCAACCTCATGTTTAGACCAATCTGGGACATGCCCAAGGAAACCCAACTGAGTTATCAACTTAGTTCTGTGCTCCATGAGCTGCAAGAGCTGAACCCTTCTGAACACCAGGCATTAGAGAAACACCAGTACTGGCAACATTGGCTTCTATGCCAGTAAGGACCAATTTGTTCACCCATCCTGGTACTTGCTGGTGACATGTTCTGTCTGACCCATTAAGCCCTGCTTTACAGGCCCCTCCTGGCATGCAGGCTAGCGGAGCAAGGGTCAGCTCCAAAATGGCATAGGAAGTCATGTCTAACAAGAGCAATGGTCTGCTTTTTGGGAAGTAGGGACAGCTGCTTTCCCCCCTCTCATGCAACCCTAAGTAGGATCAGTTATTCACCAGCAACTCCACATGGCTGCCTTCCCCCTCCTACATGGAAGAGCCAACCCCCTACCAGCTGGAACATTTAGCATCTCCCCCCCAACTCAACCACAAATATAGGATGCCCTACAAAAATGACAGAGCAATGCATACATTACAGAGGTGGGGTTCTGGGGGAGGCAGGGGAGAGGAAAAGCAGAGAAAAGGCAACATTTTTACTGTAGTCTAAAACAGTTGGACAATGGCCCTTTGAAAGCATAAGACTCCATTCAGCTGCTGTTCAAGCCTATAGCAATACCCACACCAGCTTCAGTGGAGCACAGCACATGCTCAATTCATGTCAAGTCAGGGAGTTGTCTCAGCCCTGCGTACATGTTTCTTGGGAGATTCACACATGGACCCCCAGGTGACGCGAGTTGGAGTCAGCAAACCCAAGGCCAGGTCTTCAGCTGTAGTTAAACAGTGCAGCTTCTACTGACATCAACAGAACTACCCTCAAGTTACAGGCAGAACTGATGTCTGGTCCCTAGGTGTTGTAATAGGGAGATCCTCTGCTTCTTAGAGCAAGCGGCTCACCTTCCCGAGAGTGCCCTTCATTAATGTTGGATGGTATTAATGAAGGGCCATCTCAGCATGCTGGGAGAACATGAGCTTTGGGCTTCAGAAGCACCATGAGAAATGTTAGGCTTACAGATAAAGAGAAGTTAAGGATGTGACAGGAAGTCTACTCCCAGCACTGCATCATCCCTGTCAGAAAGCTAGAATGGGGTCTCTGCTTAAAGTCTGGATTGCTACACACTCCAGGGTATCCTGCACCTGCACTGAAGCTGCTATGGTCAGAGCCAGGATGCTGGGCTAGACTGCTGTGATCTGGGATGCTTGTTTGGCCCTGGAATTGTTGAGGGCCCGTGGCCTTGTGGGGAGAAGAGGCACACCATGGTACAGCAACATGCACCACAGGATGTTGTTCTCTTAGGGCTCGCCAAGTGCTCCCTAGTTTGTGCTGAAGGGATTGCCCTCCCCCTCCTGCTGGTGCCTTTTTCCTGGACTGGAAAGGCACTGTGCTCCTGGATTTCTGGAAGGCACAAGGTAAATTAGCAGCTGACATTAATGGCTTAGCCTCTTCCTCCCTCCTGGTACAGGCTGTCTCATCTCCCACCCCCCCACCAGTGCACACACCCAGGGTGCCAGTGCTGCTGCTTCTACACATGGTGGTATCCACTGCAGGGGTGACCCCAGCCAAAAGGAAGGTGGATGCCTCTCGCTCTCCCTTCCTCCCAGCTTGCAAAAACTGATTATTCTGCTTTATTCTCCAAGGGATTTGAGAACAGCTAAAGCCGTTCAGGAATCATTCTCTACAATCCCTCCAATCACCTGGCCCAGAGCATCAGCAAAGCAGATTGGAAGCAAAATCCCCCTTCTGCCCCCCCACCCCCAAGCACATAAACCGCCTTGATCTAGGCAGGGTGATGTCACTGCCAGCCAATCAGCATGCCTGTGTGCATGCATGGATGGGGAGGGGGTGTGAGGACTCCACAGATGGCTCCAGCTGAGCCTAGCATTTGATTAATCGCCTGAATTACCCTCACTTTGCCATAAAATAAGGACAGAGGGTGGGTGGGAAAGGGGGGAGGGCGTGGAAGAAAAGCAGCAGAGCAGGAATCATGCAATCCAACTGCTGAGAGCAAGCTACAACCTTAGAGTCCTAGGGAGGGAGCTCCTCGTTAGGAGGTACCCTGCATACCTGGGTTAACGTGAAGGAGGATGCGGGGGGCATGCAGAGAAGAGGGGGATGCACCACAGTACTCAGGGCTCTGCTGACACTGGGAAGCCACGCAAGCTCAGCACCAGCTGGAGAATGCACTCACAGGAGAATACCCTCACACAGGGGTGTTTGGCACATTAGAGTTTGCATGGAAGCAGCTCCCTGGAGCCCCCTGCCCACCATGGAGGCTCCTGGCCAATAAACACCACCCAACCCATGCGCAGAAGATTTGCGGGCTGATTCTGCCAGCTACGAAGCAGCAGCCAAAAAGACCCTAAAGCAAAAAAGCGAGTGAGCATGGGAGAAGGTGCATGGCCTCTGGGGATAACAGTCCTGCAATGAAGACCGTGGGAGAAGGGGCAAGGCTTCTACACCAACCCCCAACCTCTGGGCCAGTCTGCCAAGGAAGACCCTG